AAAGAGAGTGACTGGTTCCCCCATTTCTCATACACCAACATAAGGTCTCCACTAAACTCCAGTTAATAGGATTCCGCTGATATAAAAGTGGTGTGAAAGTGGGTTGAATCTCAAAATGTATTTGCAAGTTTAACTGAGATTGATCAGATTTGGGTCTAACGAAGTACAATAATTATGTATACTTTTGGCAACATTTGTCTCCTGGTTAATATTTTTATATTCAGATGCTATATTACTTACAGATGTTTTCTTTCTGCTTATTTTGCAGATTTCTATTTTAAAGCAATTTCATGTAATTTTGCAAATATTTAGTAAACATTACAATACTGCGATTTTTCAAATGGTACAAAAGTGAATAGGTTCTTTTAAGTAAAAATCTTATTGCACTGTAACGTCTATTCTTTCTTGTTGCTTTTAATTAGCAGAGCATTCTTCATCTTAATGCAATTATATATTTTCTTGTAGATACATAACAGAGAAAAAATGCAGCTAAGTTCTTTGCTTACATTACAGTTTACGAAATTATTCCTCATACCAGAGGGTAAATATTTGAGCTTTGTATTAAAAAAATATATATATATATTTTATATATATATATATATATATATATATATATATATATATATATAATCATTTCTATATATAATCATTTCTATATATAATGATATATATATAATCATTTCTAAATCTTATCCAAACATTTGTGTCTTTCCATTGTAATACCCTGCAAAGTTTTGCTAATATTAGTGCATAAATGGACATTACTCTTTTATTAAGAATCGTGGCAGACAGATCGTTTCAGTGGTGTTCTCTGTTAAGACTTATATTCTGTATATCTGAATGATTAAACTAGCACTAGAAACACATCCTTCTCTATCAAGCCTTTCAGGTTGACTGCATTTGGGATTCATTCCCAAGTCCACCACGTTTTTTCAGTTGAACATTAAAATGTCAGATAGAAGGAATATAATTCACAACTGTCTTGGGGTTTGATTCATCTGCCTCTGACATCAATTTTATGCCAGCATAACTCCATTGAAAATGATGATATTACTCTAGTGCTATACTGGTTTAATAGAGTATCAAATTAGGCCTTAGGGGATTTTCTTGGTTACTTCTAATTTTCTGATTAAAGCAGAATTATTGAAAGTCATAAAATCCATGTAACATTGTTGCTCCACTGTGGGCTATCTACATCAGAAACCTCACTTCATTCTGGGGCTTAAGGAAATTCCCATCTGGCCTCAGCACACTTAAGGTACATTCAGTCAAACACTTCAGTAGGATCTTTATTTTTTAATTTGCATATTATTTTAACCACATTCCACAGTCTTGCAAACACAGTGCATAATTATGTTCCATATATTTCAGATTCTTAGGCAGATATGAGGCACCATCTACAAGTCCACACTTCCCTAACTCATCATTCCTCTCTGTGAAGCCAAAAAATAGCAGATTACTAGCCTATATATATGTATATATTCAGGATTAACCCTTTGGGTGGGAGAATTTGCTATTCAGCATTCATGTCCTGTTCCTTGTACCTTGTTGCTGCCACCATAGTTGTTCTGCCACAGTCTAAGGGCTTTGCCAGAGGATTATTGTCATTCGTTGGACCAAACTGATACAGTTGGAAGAAGAAGCTAAAGGCTTTTTGATTTATTTTTATTTTATTGGCACTTCTGCTATTCTTAGCTTGCCCTGCAAGATAAAAAAATCATATATATATATGTATATAGTACCTCCCTAAGCAGAACTTCCCTCTCTCAAGGCATCATCTACCCAGTGGTAGGTTAGTCAGCTGCATGGCATGAACAATGTGACGGGGCCAGCCAGCTGCAGTTCCCACCCAGCTTGTGTCTGCGGGAGGGCGTCTCACTCCACTGAAGCCTGCCTGAGTGCACGTAGAGTGTTTGCTCTATCTGGTGGAATCAATGAAGCATGTGCATTGCTGCTGCTAAATAGTTCAAGATCATGAGTCAGATGTTGCATTGTTCAAAAGTCATGCAACTGCAAAGAACTTTTTTGGGGGGAGGGGGCATGTTTGCCCCTTTTCTATGCTATTCTAGTCCTTGTTTACAGTTTTTTTCCCTCTGCAGTACAAAGGGTTAAAAGTGAGTTATCTGTTAATGAAAGCTGAGTATTCCACAACATTACATGATTCAAAAAGCCAGACCTTAACACCACCACCAAAATACTGGGGGGCTTCAGGTTGGATCATAAGAATTGGCAGCTCTCTGGCATGTTCTTTGGGATTGTTTATGTTTTCTCCTCTGGGAGCAATAGCATTCTTTGAAAACATTACATCACTTCTCTCTGGAAGGAACAATTACTGATGGGCAGCTTGTTGCAAAACAAGCCAGGGAGTTTTCAACAATATGTCGTCCATTTTACTTCACACTGCATCACAGACACTGAGCTTTCCAACACACCATCCAAACCGCTAGTACAGCAATGAAAGGAAATAATCGATGTAAACGGAGGAATGACTGCATGACCTCTTATCATGTTTTGAAGACGGTTCAGTCAGGTCAGGTTTGACTCCTTATTACGGCTTGTAATTCTGTATGTGCTGTCTGACAGAGGGAAGGAGGACAAGCACTCAGTTCTGAATGTGGCAATCTAAGAGCTAATGGCCTCAGTTCCTATAAATTAGTGTAACGAGAACAGAAATTGTTCTTCAGCCTTTGCCTGGACAGTCATCGAAGTTGTCTATCTTGGAAAGTCAATCCAAAGTAAGTATTGAAGAGTGCAGGATTTGTAGGGAAAAAGAGAGGTCTTTTATTTCTTTAGAGGCTAAAATCTGGAAGTGCAGAGATCTAGGAGATATGGAAAAAATGTTTTATGGGGGAAAAGAAAAAGAAGAAAGAAAAAAGTTTATTTAATTTCAGAATAGTTCCTGGTATGCTTAAGTCCTGAATGAAGATTTATGTTGGTCCTACTTGATCCAAACAGGTTGCTTCTCCTTAATAACAAAGCTTTCTTTGAGAATGTTTAATGCATATTGCTGCTGCCAGATACAACCTTGTACTTTTTCTAGGTTTTGAAATAGACTGGGCAATTCCTAAGCTTTCTTTGGCATGTGAAGATAATTCATGTGTTGGACTACACAGCAACTGCTCACCCAAAAGCACAGGAGGCCTGGGTGATGTAGATTAGGAATAAACAAAAGGAACTGGAAATTTCTGTGGAAGTGATATTTTTAAAACTTTGCTTCTGTGTTATTTGATGGAAAATATATTGAGTAAAGCAAATAGTCTGTGGAGGATTCTCTGCCTTTGATTATAAAAAGGTTAGTTTTCTTATCCCCTTATATGCGTATGCAGCAGATAGCATAGAAAACACTAATCTTAGTCATGGTCTTATAAGAGGGAAAGAAAAATGTGAGAATTATGTAATAAACCTGGATAATATACTCAAAGAGCATTGTCATAGCAGTGGTAACAAACACAAAAAAGAGAGTGTTCAAGCTGCCCTGTGTCATACAGAAGCATCTTCATCTACAACTACAATAATGCTCTGCATTTGTTCCAAATCTCAGCTCTCCTATTGGAGGCTGCAGTGCCCCCAGAAATAGCCTTTTAAAAGCCCCAGGCTGATCAATGTAACTGCTGTCCCTTGAAACTTCATGCCAGCACTGATGTGAATGGAGGAGATTCCAGCAACATGCCTGTTTCCATGGAGCGCGTCAAAGAACAATGGAGCAGAAGACAAAACTTGGATGAAGCTACCCCCAGGAAAGGTTTGGTTTTGTTTGAAAACTGAGACAAAATATACATAAACGAATAAACTGAAACGGCTGTAAATAGCCTATGAAAACATGCTGCAATAAAATTGTTTAGAATTCTTTTTCATTAAACCACTTCACATTTGAGAGGATGACTGGAAAGGAAGATCCTGTATTTTTTTAAGAAATCCACAGGCATTACAGCAAATGAGGGTGTTTTCCAGTTCAAATATTTTGAGTATTTTTAAATGTTTGCACAGGCTCAGGATTTTTGAGCCCATGTAATAATCTGCAAAAAATCCCACCATTTCTTTCTCTGCTGAGACTCACCACATGGCATACAGTTGAAAACACTTTGCTTTAGCAAGAGCTGTTGTGTGTTTAATGGGTTGCAGAGTAGGCGGTACCATTAGCCGTATGTGGTTCCTTATAGCAACTTGGATGAGAGCAGATAAAATTTATGTCCTGCTTTCCCAGAGCAAATTGTATGTCTCTGTGGCTATCTAAAAGGAAAGACCACTTCCAGTTTAGCCACACAAACATAATCTCTGTGTATTCTTAAATTTATGAGTGGCTACATTAAAGTGCAATCAGCCTGGATTACCAAAACTTTGGGTAAGAAGAAGGAAAAAAGATTTGCTTCTCGTTATTTTTTCTTTTTTCTCCAGAAGTATGTCTGCCTTACTCAGAATTTCCTATACCTGGTTCTTTGGTGTCTGTGACCACCAACAGAGCTTCCCCAGCCCTCACAGTCTGGTTTAAATGTGTGTGCTGTATATTCTCGTTGTCCAGAGGGCTCTGGTAAAGGCATTTATCTGTTAAATGACATGCAGACTGCCAGATTCAACAGATGACAGCTTAAGCACAGCACCAGTGACCACCAATGGTGTGGTTTTTATTTTGAGTATCTTGCTCTTCTTTTTTAAAATTGTCATTACTGACTTTTTTCCTCAGCAAGCTCTTTGCTGAGTTTTTGAATCCTTCTGCTCTGTCCCTTATTAAGGACTGATCTTGATTTCACGTGCACTAATTTTGTGCTGTTTCCCCTCTAGCCTTCAGCAATTGCTTGTGGTTTGTACTCATATGAAATGAAAAGCAGGAGTTTGGGAACAAATGGGAGTAAACAGGCATGAACACAAATATGTGCCTTTTCTCTCCCTCTCTCTTTCTCACCTGTTGGCAATTTGCTAACCTTTTTTAAATTTAAGAAATACAGCAGCTTAGAAAATACAGTGATCACTACTCTCCCATGTATTCCTTTTCCTTTTTACAGATAGAGGCTGGTACATTTGTGGAAAGGAAAGCAGGTTGTGACACAGGGATATAAAAGAGACAGTCCTGAGTCATCCAGCCCAGTCCTCTGACATCAGCAGCAAACAAGTCAGGTAGGTCCTTTTCATAAACTCATCAAGCATGCAACTGTTTGGCAGCCTTGTTGTCCAAAGAACTCTGTCCTGTTCTGATAAAGCTGAATGCAGTGCAATCTAGTTTATTTAGGGATGGCAAACTGCTCATGTAGCATGGTTTGAGAGCTCCAGGAAATTAAGAAGTCAGACGGAAGCAAATTTGTACAGTGCAAATGCATCCTTCCACAATTCTGCATATCACCACAACAGTTCTTAACGTGGATTTTCTTAGCAAACAACATATGCAAAGATAATAACCACCCTGCTGATACTGGCAGATATCCTCCTTTCTGATGGACTCAGTTTCATTCACATGCCCAGCAGGGGGGAAAGGATTATTTTAGCATACTTATTTTCTTTCCTGGTTCACATCATTCGCTGAGTATGTACAAATCGGAAGAATGCCAAATTGTTTACAAAAGATCTGAGGTGATTTGAGCCAAAAGTATCAGTCCAAGTGCCCTTAAACTTTAGGGGTTTTCTGATGTGGCTTTGACTCCAAAAGCTGTGACTCAGCCCCGTCTCTGCACCAGAGTGAGCGCCAAAAAGAATATTAAGGACAAAAGCCCCGTTCTCAGTTGTACTATGAGCTCCCAATGAATGCAAGACATGAGAAATCACCCTGACTCTGTCAGCGTAAAGCTTCCAAGTCACAGGTAATGTACATCATAAATATGAACTGAGAATTTCTTTTTAAGTGTTTTTGCTTTGAAAATCATACTAAGACCTTATCTCCTTCCCCTTCCAGATCACCCACAGTTGTCATTGCAAGCTGCCCACACACTAGTCACCACACCTTCATTAGAGGTCATCTGTCATTCCCAGTATCATTCTGAAAGTGTAGTTGCCAAGACAAAAAATCATTTCAAACAGGTGCTTAATGTCAAAGATACAATCCGTATAGTTAGTATCAACACCTATGTGTTTACTAAATGCCTGCATATTTTTATGAATCTTGGCTATATGTACCAAAAAGATGACTTTGTAGAGATGTGGAGATCAGACATTAGAAGGAGGCAATTCTGTGCTAAAGAAAACAATGGGAGGTACATCATTGGCTCTGACAGAGCAGCAAGGTACCAGGGATGCTTATGTAAAATGTTCAAGCCAGTCTCATCATCCAAAATGAACGTGTGAATCAGAGGATATTGTAATGACATTTTCAGTACTTCTTTCTTTCCACTTTTTTTTTTTTTTTTTTTTTTTTTTCCCCAGGTCTTATGTTATATGCAGATTGAAACTGCTGAACAGACAATTGGCAAGGAAGAATTTTGAAGTCAATCAAAGTAAAATAAAGAGTTTGGCGATTTCTGATTATATTCATCCTCAGCCATCTACTGCTTGTATTTTTCTTAAATATTCCTGAGACTAATGCCTTCCTGCTCAGAGAGCTGAAATCTTCACCCATATCTTTATCATCACCATCTTTAACAATGGTCAACTTCTGTTCTTTAACTTATCTAAGGCTTGGTCACACACAGCTACAGTAGGTGAAATTCCATCCTTACCACTACTGTTAGAGTCAAACCTTCCCTGAATTCTTCCACTAAGTTATCATTTAGAGCACTAGAGAAGCTTGCTTTTTCTTCATAGTGTCAAAGGACAAATTCAAATCCACATTTTGATTTATTTTTTTTTTTTCCTCTCTCAACCTATGACTGGAGATATACATTTGTAACATTATTCTTCTAGAATTCACAGTGATGATGTTAATTGAAATGTTCTCTTTCAGCAGCCTGAAAACCTTATTTTTCCTCATTCAGCTCCATTCTCAATACTTAACCCTGTTTTTAGTTATCTCCCTTTGAGGAGGAAGACTAATTTGTGATCGAGAATTCATTTTTACAATTATCTTTTTTTATTATTATTATTTTTTATTATTATTTTGAAATGCATTGTGATGATGGTCATGATATACATGTGTCTTAGGTTGACTCCACAATATTATTACTGTTTATTGCTTCTGTCATCTTTGATTTCCCTTTCTGTTGCAGCTTTCACTTGTTGAAGCTTGTCTTAATTTCAGACCCGTATTCTACGACTTACACATCTGCTTACCTTTAGTCATCTGTGTATTCCCATTGATTCCAGTGAGAATACACACATAGTTTAAATTAAGCACACGTGCAAGATTTTTTGAATTAAATCATGGGAAATAAAGTCTACTTGTTGTTATTTTTACTAGATTCAACAGCTAGTGGCCTCTGCAGTTGGCTAAACCTGCAGAGATTTAAAAGCCATTGTTACAGAAGAAGACAGTAGGCCTAAAATCAGTAAGATTCGAGAAAAGGTCTTGACAATATTAAGAAGGTAATTTTTATAACAATAGTAGTGGTGTGAGCTTTCATAGTAAGAGTTGTTCCAAGACAGTAGACCTGGCAAAAACCCAACATTTTATTCTCTCTTCTAGAGGCAATATTCAGATCAGATACAGTTTTCCTCCTTTATATAAATAAGTGTTATCAAAATTATGAGGCCAGAGGGTAGGGGAAATAGTAGTTTGTTACTTTTGATGGGAAACACCCCCAGTGTAACTAGTGCTGGGTTGTTTGGTAATCATATAGGACTTCTGATTTTACATTACCTGGAAAACAAGCACCTGAAGGACACTAGAAGTTTCTGAGTAAACTTCAGGTGATTTTTTTTTTTTTTTTTGTATATTTGCTTCATATTTAAGCTGTTACAATGAGGACTGGAAACTCTCAAATTTCAGCCTGCATTAAGTGGCTTTGTAACTGCACTTCAATTAAGAAATAGACTTTATAAATGATTGTCATATAAATCACATTCCCTGTGATCTGTAAAATTATTTGAATGAATTTAAACCATTAAAATTACAATCATTATCATGATTTGAAAAGACATATATAAGGCCTTTTATATATATTTATAAATATATATATATTTTTTTCTCTGCTAATACATGCTGGTAGCAACTTAAAGACATATGAGAGAAAATGAAAACTGTGGGAAGATAATCCAATCACTGCACTAAAACATGTTATGCTGGCACATCATAAACAGAAGTCTCAAAGTATTAACAATCCCAAGGGACAGAAATTCTGGGCTACCACCATCTCTGCAGCTCTGTAGCTAACATTTGCATTATTTACTCAGCCAGGAAAACCTCTCTGAAAGAGCAGGATCAGAGGGCAACTCAGATAAGGGCAGATGTGAAGAGGTGGGAGGTGGAGCCCTGCACAAGGCTCATTGCACAGAGCTTTCCCCAGGGGGCTGCTCTGATGCCCAGGGGCTGAGGAAAGAGTCCCTGCAGCTCTGGGACCCTGTCAGGAATAGAAACCCAAAAGCCAAAGGAAGAGAGAAAACAAAAACCAGAGTTAGTGAGAAAATTTAACCTAGCATTTCCTGGCAGTGTCTCCTGAAGAGAGACCTTCAGTCAGAGTCATTTGGCTGCACAGATGTATATCATGTGACCTCAGCCTCGGAAATCTGTAAATTAGATAAGCTAATTCATTTCTCTGCTAACTTAGAATTATGTCTTTGAGCATGCATGATTTGCAGATTTTCTTCCTATGATCTATTTTTAACAATTACTTTACATTTTAGAGAAAAAATTTTCCTCCTTTTCTACCTTTGAGCTGTTAGTATAAAATAACCACTGTTAAGGCAGGTGGTCACAAAAACCCACAGGAGCAAATGTGCTGAAGATCCAAGGCCACTATCCATTATCTCTGATATTTTACAGGCAGGGCAATAATGACTAGTATGATCTGCTCCCTCTCCAGCATGTATTTATATTTGCCATGTAGTAACATACATTTCTTCATTTTTCTGTGAATATAACACTATCTGCAAACCATTTTTGTTCTCTCTGAAATGTTCTAAACATTGACAAAGAAACAAACAAACACAAAATGTATGCCAAAACAAGCTGACTTATGGTACGGAGAGAGCAAATAAGCTCATGTCCATAGAGATCTCTTTTATTACTTTTTTTTTTTTTTTTTTTTAAATGCCACATGTCTCTTCTCAGTTATGAAGGAATAAGAATCATCTCATGTCCCAGTAGATTAGGGAAGAATGAAGTGATGTGCTTATCCCAAATGGCGAATACGTGAAGAGGTGGAGCATGGCTGTGTTGTTACCAGCTTTGTTTTTACAGGAGTGCCTGGTGTTTGGAGAGTTTTCTTCTACACCGCAGCACTCATTTATGTCATGTATGAGGGGAGAGCAATTGCTTGACTACAAACAGATATATTAGGTAGTACCTGAAAGTATTCAGCTGTTTTGGACAGTGTCTGGAGCCTACCTCTTCATAAAACTCATCTTTATCAAGGCTTGGGAATCTCCCTTTGTAGTGTATCCTAGAAACTGTCTGTAAGCCAAGACATTCAGAACAACCAAGAGTATGAAAAAGCACTTAAAGGTGCACATGATATACATGCAGGCTGTATGGGGAGCATTTGAAGGAACTGAAAGACTTGGCAGAAAAAAAGCATCTTGCCCCAAATTAAGGGTACATGGGAGGCTTTTTTAACCTTCGCTCTGGCCATTTGCACACAATTTTATGTTATTATTTACTACATGATTGAACCAAAATTTGAATTTGCCATAGCAACCCAGGCTTCAAATGGGGCATAGGTTGCTTTCCAAAATTACAGCACCTCCTTAAAAAGGAGCAAAGAATAGTGCATTATGTAATCTGAGCTCTTGCAAAATGTTATTAGCAAAATATGGTTTTAATAAACAACACGTTTTCCCCAAATTTTTGAGTATGTTTAATAAGGAAAGGTTGCAATTACAAAAAAATAATTTTATATAAGTGTGTGTATATATATGCATACATATATATGTGAAATGAGCTAGCTCAGCTTAATCTCTTTCTGAGGAAAAAATTAAAATGGCGGACATACATCTGGCAATGGTAAAACCAAGGCCATGTGGGACATTTTCATGATTTGGGTAAGGGTTTCTGTGCCACTGCTTTCCTGTTTCACTGTAAGCAAAACAAAACAGTGACAGGTCGTACATTCGTTGATGCATTTTGCTCTTTCCATTCAATCAGTTCTTTTGACAGAAAAATAATGGAGCATCCAGCAGATGACATAATTGTGCATAAATAAATATTTATTCAAATCCCCTACTTGCAGTCACTTCCCCCTAACAAAATACCAGAGTCAGCTGGATTTCTGGAAAGCAGAATGTGTCCAGAAGTTTTCCTGGGTTATGCAGAATTATGCTTGTTTAACTAAGTCTTTGGAAGGCTTGTATGGATATAAATGTGTGTGTGTGTGTGTGTGTGTGTGTGTGTGTGTGTGTGCACGCCTGCCTGCCTGCCTGTGTGTCTATCTAAAGGCAATATTCTGTGATGCAAAATGCTTGGACTTGAACATCCTCTTCACTTTTTTTCCTGCAATCCTGCAATTCCCAGCTAGACATTACTAACAAGGTTTATCCTGAACATAAGCATACATTTTTTTTTTTTTTAAGTGGATATCAATTTTATATGAGATGTATGTCCACTTCTCTGTAAGCAGAGCTTGAAGAGATTCAACCATGTGTATGTCTGGCATCTGGCATGAGAAAAGAGCTATACAGGGAGAAGCAAACTTCTCACCCTCTTTGCAAATTATTTCTTGTATTTAAAGTGACAATGAAAATAGCGTTAATCACAGCTGTTAACGTTTTTTTAAAAAAGGTCAATAACACAAGTCTTGTAGCAAACAAATGCTGCAACAGGTGAGATAACCCACATCTCTCCAAATTTCTTCTGAGATATTTAGGAATTTATTTTTCATGTGAGACAAGTAGAAGCAGCTTCTGCACCTAACTGTGAAGAAGCTCAACACTTCTAGATTTTTGAATTGGTATGCTATTAAATGCTTTCTTTCACAACTCAGGCCAACATAAAAGATAGAGGAAACCTGGGCATGGTGATTGGCAGACTTACTTGGATGTGGTACTTAGGGACATGGTTTAGTGGGTAATATTGGGGGGGGTGGCAGTTGAACAGATGACCTTGGAGGTCTTTTCCAACCTTAATTGGTTCTATGATTCTGCTTCTATGCATCTCCATTGTCTGGTCTGGGATTCTAGTCTCAGAAGAAATGTTTTTTCATGAGCTTAAAAGGCCGGTGGAGAGACCTATTTTGGAGCTGTTTTTTGATGCAATGCAGGGTGCACGAGAAGCATTTATATGGAAGACTCATGGATGACAGGCTTAGGAAAGCTGACTCCTATTCCTTGCACACATGGGCACAGTTAACTTGTGGTGCACACACCGGCCTTACTCTATGGAGTCTTTAGCTGGTTCAGCATAACCAGTTTCAGACTTTCTGTTCATTGTAAGCAGAGACCTGGGAATCAAC